TTCATCCCTCCATCCCTCCCTCCCTCCATCCATCCATCCATCCCTCCATCCCTCCATTCATCCCTCCATCCCTCCCTCCCTCCATCCCTCCATCCATCCCTCCATCCCTCCATCCATCCCTTCATCCATCCCTCCATCCCTCCCTCCACCCATCCATCCATCCCTCCCTCCCTCCACCCTCCCATGCCCGGCGGGCACCCCCCCACTCACCCGAGGGGGAGGCGGCGCAGGTGCCCCCGTTCTGGCAGTAGTCCCAGCACTGGTCTATCTGGCATTTGTCCCCGTTGTAGCGGGGCTGGCAGCGGCACTTGGCCTGTTTGCGGGCGTTGAGGAAGCAGCTGCCGCCGTTGAGGCACACCAGGTCACACGTGTCCGTGGTGGGCACTGGGAGGGAGGGATGGAGGGGACTGGGGTGAGCGGGACCGCGCTGGCAGAGTCCAGGGACCCCCCTCCTCCTCCCCTTCCTCCCTCCTCCTCCTCCTCTGGTGTCACCCACCGACGGGGGACACGGTGGGCGAGGGGATGACCACGCAGGTGCCGTTGTCCAGGCGTTTGCCATTGGGGCAGGTGCAGACGGGGCCGCTGGGGCTCAGCAGGCAGAGCCACTCGCACTTCTTGCGGTCGCAGGGGTTGGTCACTGCGGGCGGGGAGGGCACGGGGTGGTGAGGACAGAGGGGTGGGGACAGCAGGGTGACCCACAGCCCTCCTTGCTCCCCAACACCTCTAGGACACCCCCAAAGCCCTCGATGCCCCGGGGTCACCAGCTGAGTGTGCCCCACCACAGCTGGCGTCCCACAACCCACCCCACAAACCCCCCTGCTCTGCCCCACCCAGACTCCCCCACTTTGGGCACAGAGCTGCAGGGCTCAGCCCCCTCTTCCCAGCGCTCCCCTCACCCCCTGGCACCTCGCCCCAGGGATCAGGCCCCAGCAGCTCCCCGGGAGCAGGGTGGGGGTCCCGGGCTCGCACTCACCCTCCGGCTGCTTGTACTGGTGGTAGAGCACGACGTCGGTGGCGTGGTTGAGGCCGGACGTCAGGTTGGTGACGGCCTTGTGCCCGAACTTGTGGATCTTGAAGATGCGGTTGTTGTGGTAGGTGACGCCGTAGATGTAGTCCTCGAAGATGTCGATGCTGAACGGGTTGCTCAGCCCTGGGGAGGCCAAGAGGGGGACACATGGAGGCAGGGATTTAGGGTGGATCCCGGGCTGGGGGACCCCCGTGGGGGCTCGGGAAGCGCTTACTTACCCTTCTTGTTGTCGATGGCCACGACGGGGTCGGTGCCGTTGAGCCGGATGCTGCCGATGACGGAGAGCTTGGCGTCGGCCCAGTACAGCCGCTCGTTGTGGTAGTCCACGGCCAGGCCTGAGGAGACACAGCCCCCAGTGAGCCCTCGGCCCACCCCGAGCCCCTCCTGGCCAAGTGACCCGCAGAGCAGCCCCCCCTGCCACCCCTGCACCCTCCTGGCGCGGGGCTCCGAGCCCCCAGAACAAACCTCCCCAGCACAAAACGTCCCATCGAGGTTTTTGCTCCCCTCGTGCCCCTCCTGTCACGTGTTTCTGCTCACCTGTTGGCCACTGGATGTTGTCCTGCACCAGAGTCTCCCGCAGCGTCCCATCCATGGCAGCCGTCTCGATCTTGGGGTGATTGCCCCAGTCTGACCAGTACATCGTCCTGGAAGGACACAGGCAGGTCATTCCCACAGGAATGGGACAGTCTCATGCCCCACTGGAGCAGAAACCCTCCCACTCTGTTCCCACGGTGTCCCGGAGTCACCAGGCAACTCTGGGGCAACTTGAGGTGACCCAGAGGGTGACACTGGGAGCTGCCACCACAAAGGGAGCGAGGTGAGAGGGCTGGGCAGGCGAAGGGAGGAAGGGCTCATCAGGTCTCTCACCCCCTCAGCGGGTCAACCACGATGGCGTGGGGCTCGT